ACCCTAACTGTTCTATGATGCTATGATTCTATGATATACTTTCTCCTTAACTCTCTTGTAGATTTTGCAAGCTAGTTGTAAATTTAAGGCTGTTTTCATACTATGTAGTAGTATCAGATGCTCTTATTATTAAATATGTTTTTAAACTCCTAAGCAAAATATTAGTTGTCTCCTGTTTCTGATTAGTAACTTCTAATGCTTTTGGCTCTGTCACAAAGATACAATTTGGATTAAAGCTGGTGTTTGGGTTGCTTTAAAAATTTCTGTGGTCTTGTAACTGAATAGTTTATTTAATAACTAAATTTAGTATCTTCTCTATTTTGGATTATGGTTAAGAAGAACAGACATTCTAAAGAAATTCTTCATATATTTTTACTTATAAATCTTGCTACAAGTGGTGACTTCTTCAAATAAATACTAATTCTTCAAATACCAGGCAGTTAGAGTTCTAAGTAACAGGGTGTCATGGGGACAACAACTTACTAATGCTGAGATCTAATGTGGTTTATTCACACTATTTGTAGACCTATTGGTTGTATTTTAAGGTCTGAAGCAGTGCCAGATATCTGCAAGTGAGCTGAACTTGAAATTCTATACATTATTTCAGTAGACAGGAAGCTGAGGAGGTGCATAAGGATAGTATTTTACTTTCCTAAATATATATATTTTACTACTTGATCTGAAGAATCAAGAAATCAGGCATTAACTTTCTGTTCCTGTAAAGAACCTGAAGTGGAGGATTTTGTGCAGTGATTGTGCCCTATTAGCAAGTAGTAGTGACTAAAGAGTCTGATATAACAGTTGTAGAAATACTCTTTAGAAGGGATGCCTGGAGGTCAGCTGTTCCCAGTTGTCTCTTAGAAGGAGTACTATTGGCAACACTCATTTTATGGGCAACAGAGAAAATTGAGGGGATTCTGCCTAGCAAGTCCCAGAACAATCCAAAGCTTAGTGAATTCCAGAGTTGTAACTCTGATGCTCATTTCCCAACCTTGGTCTGATCCTGAACTCAGTCACTTTGTGAGGACTGCAGCCCAAGCAGCTCCCAGTGGCCGCATTTGCCCCTGGTTTTTTACTATCTGTGAGCAGCAGGTAAGGTACAGCATTAGTCAGCCCCTCCACCGTTAGGAAGTTGTCACCAAGACTGCCTACAGATTTCCTGGATGGCTTGCACAATGCTGATCTTTCAGAAAGGGGTTACAGTTCCCCCATGAGGACCACAGCCAGATCAGGAGACTTCTGTTTTTCAGAGAAAGCCTTACTGACATCATCACATTGGTCAGCAGTCTGAATCTGACTGCCGCAGCATCCCTAACATTACTTTCTTTCTGATCATGTCCCAGGAGCTCCCAAAAGACATGTCTCTGGTTGCATCCTGATGTTCTGTGCAATCAAGGGCATACTTTCCTTTGTGTTGCCTCAGTCATATCTTCCTTCTTGCCTGCATAAATTTAAATTTATTTAAATTCCCTTTATATCCCTGTGTGCCAGGTGCTTTGTTATATGCCATCTGTTTGCACCTCCTAGTTGCTAATGGTCCCTGGATACAAGATACATAGAAAGCTGGAAGGAAGTCTGCTCTGCTCCTCTGAGTATTCCACCTTGGCAAAACCTTTCATGGTGCTGGCTGGTTCCAGGCTTCCCTTGCCTGTGTTCAGCAGTGCTCTCCTCCCATGCCACAGTCCAAAAGTATTCCTACCATCTAGCTCTGGCGCAGGGGGACTGAGTATGACATACAAATATTGTACGTCACTCTTGGGTGTGGAGAATCTAGGGGGGACAGGTAGGGTAGGATTGTAATGGGTATGTTTACAGTACTGTTCCGTTCTACATACAGTGTTTAAAAGTTGTATCTCAGAGCATGTTATTAAAGTATTTTGCCATTCTTTTACACACATACTGATAAAAACCTGCAGAATACCTTCTTCTTGGCTTGTTAGAACTCTTGTGCACAGATTTAGAAAAGCACAGGCTTCTTCACTGTGGCGAGGATCTCTGGATGGTGACCTGTTAATTGCTCAAGGATGGTATGTTTAGGCAGTGATTGATGAATGATGTTTATTTACTACTTTTAAATCTTTATCAGAATTAATGTGGTGATATGCTATTCTTCTCATTTATGCAGGTACCAGTGATAGCGATATTGGGTTCAGGAGGTGGATTTCGTGCCATGGTAGGGTTTGCGGGAGTCATGAAAGCGCTTTATGAATCAGGAATTTTAGACTGCGCAACTTACATTGCTGGTCTTTCGGGATCCACATGGTAAGGATTTTTCTTCTGTTTTTCTTCAGTTTTTCTTCAGTAGGTTCAAGAATGAATTTTCATTAGAGTTAACTTATTTCTAAGGTTATAATTCACAGCAAATTTTAGACATACGCTATCAATATGAAAAAGACAGAAGGAGGCAGGTATCTTGTAGCATAGCACGTTAGTGGAGCAAGTCTGCTGGTAGAGGTGTTCTGAAATGCCTCAAAGTGGAGGACAGATCCAACTTAAGGATCTGTCTGTGAAAGGTGATCTTCCTAGAA